GTGCTGACTCTCCTGCACACACCACGGAATCCGCACGTTTTAGGGCGTTTTTTAAAGACTAATGCCACAGATGAGCAGGCAGAAGAACAGACGAAGGCGTGATCCAGCCTGCAAGATGTAGGGGAATACACTCACTACAGCTCATGACAGGTCTCAAAGTTCCCGATCCGTTAGAGATGTCAGTAATCGGCAGCAAACTGCCAATGTCACCTTTTCCGAAACTGATGTAAAATATGAGGCGCCGAGACCTACAGCGTAAAAATTGGGAGGCGAAGTTGACATTGGAATCTCAGTCCTGCACATTGCGACTTATATCCATCTTAATCAGTTGAGTTTTTCGAAATCCTTTGGCCAGAATTGCCCAAACCATTATGTTTTAAAAATCAACGATGTCTGCTGTAGGCGTCAGGGAGGATCGTAGTCACAGCCGACAATCTGCAGGCAACTCTTTTTGTGAATAAGTGGGTGAGTACTGCATAAGTGGACGGCAGTAGACCTCCGCTCACTGAATTCGCATGGAAGCCAGACTTTCCAACAATTTGGTCGATCCCTGCTATGTGCTGTCAAAGGGCGCCTGCCCCATTCGCTTTGTTTTTTACATCTCCTTACGTGATGACAGCTGATTGGCTCTCAACCTCTGTTAACGGCTCACTCGCCGCGTACCCACAAGGCTGCCTCTCTAGGGTATCCTATATGCGTGGTTCGTAGTCATATGAGTCAGCGTGGCGTGTTTACGAGAGACAGAACGGGGTACTCGCCCCCTTTTAAGCTTTTTGCATGCTTTTCACAAGCGCTCGAGAAAACCTGGTTGAACTTCATGGACTGTGCATGGAAACTTAAGCTGTGTCTTCTTTTGAAATGGGCATAAAAACTTAAAATGTTAAGAAACTTGAAATGTTGTGTCATGGGAGTTGAATTGGCTGTTTGAACAAGCGCTGATTTCATTGTTGTCACTACTCCGGGACAATATCATATAGTGATATCACAAATTTAACCGCTTCCTGCAAATCATAAGTCTTCGTAGCCTAGAGTCGGCGGTTCAACTTTGTGACCAGATCTGGCACCGGTGTGAGTAGATTTGTAAGAAATCCGTTGCCCAGCTGCTTCACGTTTCGACAGCTTAACCAAGCTTTCGGTTCGTGATAATGCCTTGAAATTGTGGCAAGCATCATCAAATGCTAGCTAAACGCGGAATGAGGAAGGAGAGCAGACAGTTTTGGCGCAGGACGGCAAATTGGCAAAATGAGTTGGGACGCTGAACAGTGAAAAGCTCCTTCACTTTCCTTACTCTTCCAAAAATCTCCTCTCGTCTCCTTAGTGTTTTTTCATGTCATGTCAGCACAACCGCCATTTACGCTAAATTGGACAGGCTTTTGAAGAAAGTGCTCCACTGCCTCTTGTGATATCGTCGGAAGCAGATCATGGTGCTTATCATACATTGGGCCTATCCGGTTGCATTTTGTTTAGCGGTGTTCCTTTGTCCATAAGATTGGCAGGATCTCTTACAAATGAGCGTAGTGTGCGGCATCATCCAACAAATCAGACCAGGCCAGACTCACCAGTTTAAGCGGACTGACCAGACAATCCTGGTTTGGCGACCTGCTGAGGCTGATAAACTGCCTTGACAACTGGAAATGGCACGAGGGCCTGACGCGGCCCTTTGACATTGGCATCATGACCCCGCCATTTGTTTTGCCCCTTGAGGCCCAGGAGGAACTGGCTGCCCTTGGTAACGAACGCAGCTGATTGGTTTTCAGGTCCAAGAAAGCTTACCAGTTCTGACCCCAAGACCCGGCGCAGCGAAGTGGCTTCGCCCACCCGCCGACGGACTAACCTGGCCCTGAGACTGGGGCCAGGCGAGCGTGCAGGCCCTGGCAACTGACATGATTGCCTGACCTGACCCTGAGACCCGGCTCGGCCGTCTCACTTGGCCTTTGTACATACCTGGCGCGGTTGCCGAGCGGACCCGGAGCGACTTCGCCCGGCTTTCCGAATCTCCAGCTCCTCGCCAACTGACCTGACCTTGAGACCTGTCGTGACCTGAGACCTGACCTGATATTGAGGCCTGACCTAACCTTTAAACCTGACTTGATCTTGGAACTTGACCTATTTGGCCTTGAGACCTGACTTGGCCATTGGGACCTCAGCTGGTGTTGAGACCTGAACTTATCTTAGGGATCTGACCTAGCTTTGGGACCTGGTTCAGCCTCGGGATCTGCCCTGACCTGGAAGCCTAGCTTGAACTTTGGAACTGACCTGATTTGGTCTTCAGTCTTGACCTGGCCTTGAGGCCTGGCTCGGCCGGACTGACCGAGCACCTCGGTCCCTACTTACCCTGGAACTTGGCTGCGTCCTCGTCGCGCGGGCAGTTGCCGTCCGTGTCGGGGAACACGTAGCTGTTCGTCGCCGTCGGCCGCGATGGGCGGCCGCGGCGTCCGCGCCGGCACCAGCGACGGCACCACCTCTGTGTACGTCTCGTTCGGCTTGGGGCCCCAGCCCTCTGCAAAGGCGACACCAGGCTGGTAAGGCAGCGACTTGGAAGAGGTGTGGGCGCGGCCGCGCGTGATGCCGTTTTATTGGCGGCTCTATTTAAGTGGGCAGATATGATGTATCCGTGAACTAGTTGGAGCGGCTGTTCCATCAAGTTGAGGGGCTCTATGACCACGCCCTTAATTCGAATGAACGCAGTTTTTGTCCGCGCGTCCCAACCGCATGTATGCCTCTGGGGCCTTTGGGGTTCTGCCACTAAGTGCTTTAAGGCTGCTCTAAACATTTGATGCCAAAATTGAAGTTTTGGTTGGATACTTATTTGAAATGAGAGCATCGTTTGTTGAATGTCGCATACGATTAACATCTACTCTGAGTTAATTTCAGCCCCTCTGAGAAACAAGATGATTGCATCGATTTGCGCTGCATCTACATGTTTGCAGCAAGAATCTGACTTAAATCGAAACTTTACGGCGGAGCTAATGTAAAGCTTCATATGTCAGACCCGTAGAAATTGCCCTTGATGTTTTATTCATGGCTGGTTCCATTAGCGAAAGCCATTATACAATATTTCTTGAGCCTTGCATTCTTTTGCCATTAATTGTTAAGTGGAGATGGCCTGAAACGGCCAAGAACAAAATTAGATTTGGATCATTTATTTCAAGTAATGGATTAATGGTTCAAGCGGTACTTCGAACACAGATATGATGGTGTCAGTAAACCTGCAACGACTGCCAAACCCATCATATGTCATAATTATGACATAACGTAACAGACGACATGCTGATATCCATGCGCGAATTGAATCGCAATAATCACCATTTAAAGCTGTACCCAACTACGGGGAACAAAAAATGTTGTGCGGTGATTTAGGCGGGACGAAATGCGCTTTCGCTGCATATGCCAGCGTCTGACCAGAGTACCAGGAACTAAGTCCCGAGCACCTAACTAACGAAGCAGCAAAGCCTGAGACAATCGAATGAGCGAGGGACAGACGCCGCCGTACTAAATTGAATGGATGGCCTGGCAGCTTTGGACATCCAAGCAGTTGGGTATCAGTTTATTGGCAGTTAAAGCTTTAAGGAAAATGACGAAGTGGCATACGGCTCAGATCCACAGTCATGGGGGCGGAAAACCGGGATGTCCCATTTGACGAGGTCGAGGATCAATAACGAAATTAATCACGGCAGAGCGACCCCACCTCTTTCAAAGGCAGACAGCACGCCTCAAAAGACGTTTCCTGGTTCCGCCCCGGATTTTCGACGACATTTTGATAATCGCAGCGGTGACATTTGACTGGCCCTTGGACTACTTTTTGCCCTGATGATTAACCGTCATCTGCCTGAAAGGCTGGCAAAATTGAGACCGGAGCAATGTTTTACACCTGGCCAATGTGGTGGTGGCAGCGCAAAGCGTGCCGCCGGTCCGCACAAGGCCGCCACGTCGCTCCACCGGGCGGCGCGCCTGGTGCCGATCAAAGAGCGCCGCCGGCCAACCGCACTCCTCTCTTTCTGACGGCCGTAATCCGGCGACTTCTCTCCTCCCATTCTGACCGCGTAATCCGGCGTGGAAGAGGCCGCCGCGCCAGGCTCCATCAACGCGGCCCAGCGACGGGCCGCGCGAGACGGCGCGGTTAACCGGTCGGCCGGCCGGACTGAATGGAGGGCGGGCCCGCCGCCGCCGCCGCCGCCGCCCCTGCACCGGGAGCGCCTCCGGACGGTTGACGTCATCACCGGACATTGGATTCCGCTGTGCTATGCTGACGGCCGCGGCGGTGTGGGCGCCAGCCAGACGCCCGTCGACCGATGCCGAGCTCGATAATGGGCCCGTCAGTGACCGGGCTGCTGAGGCTCCTATTTACACGGCATCTGCTGGTAGTAGAGGACTGCGCCGGTTGGGAAAATCTATGGGTACCCGTATAGAGTGGGTGACGGGTTGACCTGTGTATAGACTTTGGAAAACCACGGGTATGGGTACGGGTATCGGTAAGACGCTTATGATTGTTGCGGTCGATGCTTCAAGAAATACCGACAGTTTTATTGCTTGGGTTGTTTTTAGGCGTGATGAGCTCCACGCACTCTACTTCTATAACTATCAACGTAAAAGAGAAAGTATGAATGTAGCCTTTCCTAAAAATCACCATCATTTAGATCAACAACGAGTGGGTAATGGATGCAAAACAGCTGATTATGAGTGGATGGCGCGTGGGCACCCCCAGGCCCATGGTTAGCCACATACGGACACATGGTTAGCCACACACGGACACATGGTTAGCGCATGCGGACACATGGTTAGCCACATACGGACACGTCCCATGGATAGCGGGTGGATTGGGTAAAGGAAGCCATATCCGTAAAGGTCTCTAGCTGGTTGGCTCACACCAGTGTGAGCGAGTGCATCGCTTAGCATACACCTGTTGTAATTCCAGCACGATGCAGAAATATACTGTTGTATACAGGAAAAAAATAAATAAAATTCTTTATAAAACTGTCTTTTGTTAGCTGTTTGTGACAGCGAGTGACTCAATCAATGGGGCTACTTGAAAAATGTAGTTCCGCAACGAGCACCAGTTCGTGTGCTACACTGATAAAAAGCATCAAGACTGAGAAGCACACACCGACCACGCCAAAGCTGTAGGCAATATCTTGTGATCGGGGCGGGCGAACGAAGCTGAATTGAAATGTCTCACAACGCTTTTTCCACCCAAATAACGTTTGCAGCATTGTGTTCCACGCTGTTCTGATCCGCCTTGTCATGGCGGTCGCCTATTCAGTCGCTGCAGACTGGCAACGACTGAGCAGGACTGCAGCATGCTGGACTGCAAGCTGCAGTTTCAGCATTGTCAAGCATGAGCCATCCAGCCATGACGGAAGCTGGCGTGACGCGGAGGCCTAAGGAAGGCCAGTGGCCCTACTAAGAGTTTGACAGTAAGCGGCGGTGCCCAATGCCGTGCCGGGGGTACCAGCTGTGCTCGCCAGTCCGCAGCATAGCAGCGCTGGAATAACTACGATTTGTCCGACAAAGTGTCTTTAGTCCTCGTCAGCCATTTACCTAAATTAGTTGTCAGTTTATTCCACTGCAGCAAGATCATTCCTTCTGAGGAATAAACCAACACTTCCGACTCTCATTCAGATGCAAATGAAAGGCGCAGTAATTTCAAAGCCATCAGCATACCGTGAAGTGAAGTTACGCAACAAGACCACTACTCACAGCGGTGTTTTCTGTTTGCCACCGTTCAAAGGAATAAGCTAACTCACGATGCTCTGACCAAGTCCACACACCTCATTTAATGGCGCATAGCATTCGACGTTGTGCCGGTACGATTGTCGAAAGTCCACAAAAAGCGCGATACTCATCTCCATAATGCTATATTGTAATGTGGCACGGCTGGTGAGCTGGTACATTGCCCAGACTAATTCCGTATGCATTCCAACGATGCGTTGGCTGTACTGCTTTATTTCAAGGTACCGAAACAGCTACTGTTGCGTCAGATCGACATCACCGGTAACCAGGGTCTCTCACGATGTGGCGGCCCCGGAGCCGCCTCACCAGCGTCGCGGTGTGCGGTCCGCGAGCCGGCCTCACTAGCGTCGCGGTGTGGCGGTCCGCGAGCCGGCCTCACCAGCGTCGCGGTGTGGCGGTCCGCGAGCGGCCTCGCCAGCGTCGCGGTGTGGCGGTCCGCGAGCCGGCCTCGCCAGCGTCGCGGTGTGGGCGGTGGCCCGCGAGCCGGCCTCACCAGCGTCGCGGTGTGGCGGCGCTGGCCGGGCGGCCGCTGACCCGTGCCGCCGTGACGCGCCGGCCACAACACCGATGGCGCCATCGGGGCTGCGGCAATCAGTCAGCCCGATCGACCGGGCAAACTGGCCCGGCGCCGCGGCCCTCGGCACGCCACGTCGTCGTCGCCTCCGATGCCAAACGGCAGAGACGTCCCAGTCGGCCGGGGAGGCCCTCTCATTTCGTTCGCACGCCCCCTCCCCCTGCCCGTCCCCGCCCTGCCCGCGGCGGTCGATGAGGACTAGAGGCCGTGACGGGTGGGACGCCACCCGTGGAGCTGTGTCCAGACCCACTCGCTACTTTTTCTAATGACATGTTTCCACCCATTGCCCATCCGCCCGCGTTTTCCATCACTTTAGACTGAAATTTCGAGAACGTTTAAAGTAAGTTCAGACACAAACTAATTGCTGGTGCACCACCGATGGCGCTGGTAAGTTAGAAGCAACTTGAATCAAACTAATTATGACTGAAAAAGCACAAGCAGTGGCATTGTGTCGTAATTCATTAGGTATCTTTCTTACCCTTGACAGATAATGACCTTCGGCCCGTGGCAGTGGTTGCGGCCAACGTCAGGTGACGTCAGAGGGCAGAACGGACCGTGACGAGCATTGTAGCACGGGAAACTTCCGTCATCAAACTCTGTCCTTGACCCAGAACTTCATGGTCGCATGGTAGGGGTCCGGGCTCACACAGCAAGTGCTGCATAGCTTGAGCTCTTATCCCAGATATCCACCTATTCATCATCTGAAATTTCATGTTTTTTACCCGTACCCATACCTGTGTTGCTTCCATAATGCATACCCATCCCATCCTGCTACCTATTCCATAGGTGGATCAATGATCTTGCTCAGCTCGTGCAGTTCTCTACGGCGGACTGTTTTCAGTCCGTGGGACCGGATCCAGCATCGGCACGCCCGTCATCAGGATCCATCCGGCGGAGGCGGAGGCCCATGACAAATCACGGATAACAAATCCGCAGCCATTTCACGACTGAGTTCAACCACTTAAGCGCGGGTTCAGACTCCATCCAACAGAGGCCGTTTCCGGGCGGGGAAACCCGTAGCAAATCGCTTGTGTGATGCGCTCAATTAGCGCCGAAGCGTTATTCAATATTCGCCAACCAAATCAAAAAGGCATTTTGTAACGAATGACGGGACCAGACTCCTGGCGTCAGCCTCCCCATACCATAATATCGGCAATCGCGCCAAAGCCGTGCTTTAGCCCACGAATAGCTTTAGC